TACGCTGGTAGCCTGGGGCCTGAAAGGCATACAGGATATTTTCAAAAGCATATATTCCAAATTGCACTGGCCCATTCTATGTCTCATGTTTGTCTCAGCCTTCTTCATGTGGCAGGAAGGCCTTTTCCTACAGTCCCTGACTGAATGCAGAAGATACACAGTATTGATTATGCCTCAGGGAGATGCCTTGCCCTTGGATTTTCCTCTTTGTTTTCTTCCAAATTAAACACAGCCCCACACATCCATTCAAAAGGCCAGGTTTGCCCTGTGCTGTTTATGTTTCATCATCTTCCACCGCTAGTTCTCCGTGAAATGAAAAACGGACAACTTCATACTGAGAAGGAACACTGTCAAGTTTCAGTATACTCACTAATTTGAATCTGCAGTTCTCGATGTTCACAATGTCAAGTTTCCTGTTGATCTCATAGATGTCTCGTTCTAGCAGCTTCATACTCTCTGTGTGTTTTCTCAACTGGCCAGTTGCAGCATCACGCTTGATCCGCAATTTGTTCCTCAGCTCCAGCTGTTAATAATAAACTCTTCACTGCTAACTGATCTTTATATAGGATTTTTTAAATTAAATAAAGTGAAAAGAGTTTTTGTTATGTGGCAGCTTTCATTTAAAAATTTCAAAGTACCATCTGAGATAGGTATTTATGACCTCCTACCAACAAGAAGGAAGCGGGGGAGAGTAGGGGAGTGATTGCTTGTGGTCCACAAGAAAGGAACCAGCTCTGTCATGAAGTGACCTGCTGCAGGGCCACCCAATGGCAGGAGCATCACTTCTCTGTCACTGGAGGCTCAGGTGTACACAACTGTTTGTTGTGCTATTCCTTTTCTTAAATGGTTGGAGAAACAAGTCTCCCTTCTCTGAAGAGAGACAATTTCTGTGTTGGTGTGGCTTCTGTGGAGCTCCTCAGAGACATTTGCCCATTACCAGACCACTTGGGCACGAATCCTGATCAGCCTCATAAGAGAGCTGTTTATGTAGTTTATTGAGTTTGTCTTACGCTTCTCAGTGACTAAAGACACTTTAACTCTTCCTATTAACAGCAGAAGGGGTGACCGTGTTCCTTTATCACCTCAAAGTTTTGTTCTGGCAGAGAAACAGAAAGCAACACCAATTTCATTTTTTGCCTGGGATGTACAGCCCAGCTGAAGCAAGCTCTGGCCAGGCTGCCCTAAGCAACTGGTCCCAGTACATACTGGATCTGGTTGTGTATGGACCATAGAAATGGCCAGAGCAGGCACAGCAGGTCTGACATGCACTGTGGTGCCCACACTCAGGCCCATCAGCTGTAGCAGGTCTGAGGGTGGCCAACAGGCAGAGTGACTGTGAGAGCTCCGCGGGGACACTCTGTCTGGGAGCAGTAGATGCAGCACGCCTCAGACATTTTGAGCCACTGCAACTACCCCCACAGCTAGACAAGTTTCTCTCTCCTCTCACTGGTGCTGATTGAATGCCTGAAGTCAGAAATGGGAAATACAGGTGAAGAGGCAAGGATACAGAAAGGTTTTTCAAATACGAGTTACTGAGGTGGCAAAAATTCCTGCCCTAGCAGTAGCAAGCATCTCAATAGAAGCAGACTCACAAATGACCTTAGTTCACCAGCTTCTTTTTGACTTGCTCACGTGCCTAAGGAATGCAAAATCAAGCACAAGGGCAGCTTGATACAAATGCTGGGATACAGGCTGAGCTGAGGTCTGAGGCATCCCTCAGATGGGAGCACAGCAACAAAGAAGAAGATATTGCCTCCCACAGTCCCAGTCTCCATGGGTGCCTGGTTTTTACTGGGAGAAAATAAAGCTGGTGGTGGAAAGTTTGCAGAAGTAGTACAGCTAAATTTTAAGTTATTACCGTGTCCTCCCTGAGCTTCCCAATAGTTTTGATTGACTGCTGAATGGCTTTTTTGACTCGTACCTCTTCATCTTTCTTTTCTACAAAGCAAGGAAAGGGTTTTTAGACAGTGTCATGACTGAACATTAACGTTAAGCTGTTGTAAATAAAACTAGGTTCTATCACTAAGTGATCTGTTTAACTTATCTGGCATTTTTAAAAAATGCTTCATATTTATGCTATGGCCATGTCTACAGAGTCTAGGTATTGCAAAGAGCTCAGCTTATATTTGTTTCACAGATCACCTGAGCCACAAGCAGACAAAGGGCTACAGCACACTGGTTTTAGAAACAGCAAGAGAAAGCCCCACTATGTAAAGGAGCTACTTAACACTTACCTAAAAATGATTTCCTCAGTTCTTCATATTTTGTATACTTCTGTTCTGTTTCTCTCTGGGTTTCTTCCAAGCTTAGCCTGCTCATGTTTAATTCTTGTTCTTTTCTAAGCAGATTTTCAGTTGCAGTTTTGATGTCATTCTTTAATGAAACTAAATATTAATCAATAATCTATCTAAGCAGCATTTAATGCACAGATAATTCAACATATCCAGAGGGGGAAACACACACACCACCCACACCACCCCCCCCAAAAAAAAAACTACCCCAGAAAAAAGAATACTGGAAGTGATCCCAAAAGGTCATCTTAGTCCCCGTCTCTGCTGTACAGCAGAATCAATTAGACCTAAGTACCCATGACAGATGTTTGGTTTGTCCTTAAAAACCTTAGTGGTAGAGTTACCATGTCTCAGACAACTGATTCCAGTGTTTTACTATTTCTGCTGTCAACGCTTTCTTAGGGCCTGATTTAAGTTACATCTATTCTGTTCCTCATTATTTGTCTCAACAAGTGGATAAGAAGAAAAGCTTATCACCTTGCTATCAATTTTTATTTGTTCAGTAGTGACTACCATGTCTTCTGTTAGATTTACCTATTTTAAATGGAAAGTCTGCACATCTTTCTGATCATCTTTACTTAGCTCCTCTTGGACCTCAAAATAATCTACATCCTCCTTAAATGAGATGATCAGTGCCAGACACTGTACTCCAGCTGTGTCCTACAAAAACCAGGTAGAGTGGAAAACTTAGATCATAAGCCTTGCCAGGCTCTCTGCCTCTATACAGACTGGTTTGACAGTTGCCTTTTCCATTACTACAAATCTTTGTTGACTTCTGTTCAACTTGTCAGCTTTAGTCCTATTTACCACTGCCTAAACACCTCCCTGATGATGGATTTCTACAGGCAACTGGTTTTAGCTAAATGCAAAAATGTGGATTTTTTTTCATTATTATTAGTACGACCTTTTTTCCCCAGAATTACTTCTCCAACTTGCTAAAATAGTTCTGAATTCTAGTTCTGCCCTGCAGAGCGCGGTCCCACTCTTATCATGTTTGTTATCTGCAGATATGATAAGCATTCACTCTATCCTGTCACTTGAGTCATGAAGGGAATTACAGATTAATTCCAGTCTGAGAGCAGATCTCCCGCAAACTAACAGGAATCATTTTTCTCTTTGGTCAGTAAAGCGTGGGTAACTATTATCTAGGAAGATTTTCCATCTGGTTTTGTACCTCAGATTCATCAGCCTGGAAAAGAGACAACTGAAGAAACACACAACAAAGATGTGTAAAGTCACACACCTTTGCTGGAGAAGATGAGCAGACAACAGTTACTCACTCTTTCTCATAACACAAGCACTGCAAGATGCCAATAAACTTTTGAGACAGCAGGTTTAAAACAAAAGGAAATTCTTGTCCTTATTAAATATGTTATAGGTTTTTATGGAGGATAAATGTATATGTAAGCTAAAAGAATCAATCAATGAGAGGAGAATATTGCACTGAAGATCCAGCATAGCATAAAATTCCATCAAAAGCTATTAAATGCAGATACCATCTCCATCCAAGGAAGTTCCTGACACTTCATTTATCACAGAAATTACACAGAAGAAGGGTCATTCTATATCTGACTGTTCCTACATTACTTCTCCAAGCAAGACTATTGATCACTGCTGGTAGGACCAACGTTGTCTTACCCAGTATGGCTATTTTGGGAACTGACGTTGATTCGAGCTTCACTCACCAATTCTTCATGTGCACTTAAATATAATCATGAATAGTTCTGAAATGGCTTCAGCCACTTAACTACCTGAAGGTGAATTTCATTAGACTCAGATGATCTGAAGGCATCTGAGTTCTCCAGGTACACTTGCTAACTGGTTCCTTCCCTTTCCATACCTGAGATGTTGCCACAAATATGGAGTGTTTTCATGTTATTCCACATCCTTTCCTATCAGCATGTCCTTCTGTGGCTTGACCTGTCTCACATTGTTGCTCCATGCCCAACCAAATCATATCTTTTCAATCATACTAATATTTGTTTAATACAAATGTAACTACAATGCTCCTGGATCTGATCTGTACATCCCCCTGTAACAGGGCTGCACAGACTTACCAGCCAGGGAATCTTTGTACTCTGTTACATCGACACGGGGAAGAAGAACTATTAGCTCTTAAAGACTAAGCAGATCATCACCTAAATACCATTACAAATCTGTACATTTTAATCTTTCTCTGTCTTATTCTGTAGCTTTAAAAAAAGTCTGACCTTTGGTTTTAAAGCAAAAAAAAAGAAGTCTAATTCAGTGTACGTGCATCCCTCAACATAGTGGAATCTCATCTTGGTTAGGGCCAAAGGAACACGAGTCACAAGTTAAATGACTTTTCAGGGAAAAATACATTTCTTTTTTTTTTTTTTTTTTTTCTGCAATAGGTAAAAACACAGAAAGGGAAAACAGGCACAACCTATATAGACTGGGAGACCTGAAGAACAATGTTGAGAGAGAGAGAAGATGATACCCAGGAAATAAAGCCATACAAAGAAATGAAACTGGGTCCAGGATGCAAAGTAACACCAGGACTCTGAACTCGCTCCTTTACAGGACATTAATCTCAAATGCTGCACTACATGGTTTTGTTCCCTCTGAGACTCTGAAGTCAGGTAAGTCATACCCACTCCTGTGATCAAAGACTAGAAATATGAGAAAACCTCAAAGTATAGACGTTTGGATATGCTCAGAAGATGTACTGGTTTTTAAGGACTGTAGCAGAAGGATGGGTAAAATGAATGAAAAAAATGGAAAATACAGAGCAGAACAAACAAAATGGCTCCCTTGGCAGAAACAGGTATATGAAGAAGGTGGTGAAAGAAAGGTGATCTGAGTCTTATTTCTATGGACTACTTTGATATCATGCATCACTATGATGCTCCAGACAGAACAGAATGAACCTGAGCTGACATGACTCTCACAAAGGAATTTATTCCCCTTACACAACTACATCCTTAGGACAGCATTCAGACAGATTCATTTTGGAGAGGAAAGTAGTGGAGAGCAAGTGCAAGAAAATGCTGAAAGCTCTAAAAGCAAAATGGGAAAGAAAAAAAAAGCAAAGTTTAATTGTTTCATCAAAATGGTAGGAAATTCAAACAAAGCAGGAAAACAATTAAAAAAGGAGAAAAAGTTAGAGTGTGTCACTGAATGAAAATAAACAGTTACAATTACTTTTTCAGCCTGGCTCTGAAGGACTACAAAGGAAAGGACAACCCTCTGATAACAGTTTCATCAGCACTATATTAGATGAGGGAAAAACTCTTTTAGAATGGATCATAATAAAGAAAAGACAGAGAAAGTGTCAAGGCATATTGAGGATCTCTTTTGTATATTCTGTGTACCTCAACTGCCCGAAAGAGCATGAGAACGGATCCAGCACAACTGTTTACTTTGTAGTGACAGTCTCAGCCCGGATTTTTAGGGAACCTTGAGGAGTTACATGTCGATAATTGTCTTGTGTGACATGGGAACATAACCTCTCTACCAGCAAAATGAGAAAGATCCTCAAGGCCTTCTGTAAATCTACCTTTCTAAGGTCAGACTCACAAAGAGGATCATGGAATCGTAGAATGGTCTGGGTTGGAAGGGACCTTAAAGATCATCTAGGTCCAAACCCCCTGCCATGGACAGGGACACCATCCACTAGACCAGGCCTTGAACACTTCCAGGGATGGGACAGGATATTTCCTGCACTCCTGGCACCTCATTTATCCTATCTCAAATCAGACTGTTGACCAAGAGTCAGACAGTTTCCCTGGGGATAGAGCATATGCTATACACCAAAGATCAAAGAAGCGCTTGAAATCTTTGAAAGCTCTGCATAGTTGATATCCAGCATTTCAGTGTCCTACTTACTTTGGGAAGAAAGCTCATCAGTGTTTTAAAGAACACTGACACTAAGGAGCCTTGGCTTACATCTTGTACACCATCAATCACTCCAATAGATTTACAACAACAATAATTTAGAGGAGAATTTGACTAGTGTCTAAAATCAAGCTGTCATATTTCCATGAATGTTGGCCTGTTTACTCAAAAATGATGAAATATACTCTAACAGGTTACACACTGGGAGGCTCACTACAAAGCTAAACTGGATGCATCTCAGAACTGAATCTGGTTCTGTGCCTATTTTTATTTTAAAATGGGAGGCATCCCTTCTGAGAAACACCATCACTGCATTGTTTTGACATAGATGCCCATATGTACATGAATATATATATGTATGTATACATATATGGGTGTTTATTGATTCCAGTGTCTCAATCTAAGGGTCTTAAGTGCTTTTGAGCATTAAAAAAAAGAAAAGAAATAAAAAAAGGAAGAAACCCAACCTGAAAAGTACAGAATTTTCTTGAAACAATTACTGACAGATAGGTCAAATTTAAGCAAAGCTCCAATAAGCATAGCTGCAATGAGGTGCAACAAACACTGCCAATTCATCCATCAGAAATCTTCCTAAGGTTAATAAAAAGAACAACAAAACTTACCTCCAGACATTTTATTTTGTTATCAAAATCCTGTATATAATTCCTGTAATCATTTTCCCTCTTACTTGCTTCTTCGCTCAGGGCTTTGACTTGATTTTCAGACTGAAAAAGCTCTTTCTCAAGGTCTTCAATCTCATAATGGAAAGGAAAATGAAGGTCAGTGATTTCTGAAATACATAATGTCTACGTGGACCACTCAGAAATAAGCAAAATGAGAGCAATCTCCATTTAAAACACAACATCTGCTAGGATAAATAATTGCTTTTAAATTGCTATTAATAGGAGTTAAGGTCAGAACACAGAATCACAGCATGGTTGAGGTTGGAAGGGACCTCTGGAGGTTATCTTGTCCAACTTCCCTGCTCAAGCTGGACCACTTAGAGCAAGTTGCCCAGGACCATGTCCAAATGGCTTTTGAATATCTCCAAGAATGGAGATATTTAGACCTTTAGATACTGAAGATCTTTAGACCTGATATCATGTTTAATAACTTACAAAGAATTGGCCCTTGGAGGTTACTTGCTTAGGTATCAGTTTACTCTGATTATGTACAGCATGAACGTATCGTAACACTGGATATAATGGGTTATAATATCTACCATTTAACATACCTCCAGAAGTAGTTCAGCATGCCTTTTTTTACCAGCCTCTATTCTTTGATTCACTTTTCTGTTTATATTCTCCTCCTCTGAGAAAAAGAGTTTTCTCTGCTTTGCAAAGTACAGTAGCTTCCACTGAAGCATTACTCTGGTGACAGATACATAAGCAGAAGTAAGTTGAAATTGGGAGAAAAACAGAAAAGGGAGACACAGCATTATCAGAGGTACTGCAAGACTAATGTAAGAGATTGGAAGAACCAAACATATCTCCTGTAACTTCAGGATTACAGTTAAAGTGGTTCAGACAGGAGTCTGAATGAATGTAGAGAGAATGAAGTAGATGCATAAAAAGACATTAAAACCTTTTAAAGTGCCTCTCTGTACTGAACAAGGGAAAGGAATCTTAAGGTGACTATGTCACTTAAGTGCCTCTGTTACGTGCCTAAAATTAGTTATCATAAGTCTGAATCAAATAATTTGGTTAATTTAGCTTAGCAAATTGGAAGGCTTAGAGGGAAAAGATTTCATATTCATAAAACCCTAGGGTTTGTAAACTATGAAAAAGATAAAAGACAACACAGGTACAAAACCAAAAAGACGCTATCTGTCTATGTGAAAAGGCAGACTGGAAGTCAGAAAAAAAATACTCTTAGGCATCAGAAGTACAAGATTTTAGAACAACATCTTAATGCAAGTAAGAGGGAAAAGCACCAATGGGGTTTGGGGATTGAGCATGATTGTTTTTTGAAGACAAAAGTACAATGTAATATTCAAGGGAGAACCAGACTGGACTAGATGATCAAGAAATATCCAGATCTCTTTGCAAAATAATTAAATGATAAGTGAGAGCTGCAGAGCTAATGTGAAATAGCTGAGCAGACAATGGGTTTATTTTGGAGAGTATCCTATCAACTGTAGGGTGCTAAGCACTTTCTGAATCCACTTTTTTTCTTGCAGATAATGAAGAGGAGGTAAAAATCCCATCAGGGATCTCACATACAAGGAAGAAAAAAACCCCCACAACACCCTATGAAGTATATAGGTCTTAATGCTCTGAAAAGGAGGTATCTCCATACTGTCATGGAATGATAGCACCTCAAGAACCAGACACACAAAACTGAGACACCACAAGTACCAGACACACTGTTTAGACAAATAGTATGAGCAGAACCCCAAAAGCTTCAATTAAAATCTGGCAGTTGCTGAG